CACCAATACATTTCATTAAAAATATACACTAAATTTTCCTTGAAAGATTTAAGAATAAAAAGATGTTTATGCGTAACGTCCGAAACAAGTGGAATCACTGATATATGTGAGTGAATTAGGAGGGTAAGGTTTATAGAAGGAGAAAAAGAAAGAGTAGAAATCCCCAGATTCAAAGGAAGTTTTATTTAGTTTTGCCAGGATTTGTATAAACATCAATGCTTCTTCAAATAATTCTAGAAGATAGAATTGTCTGCATGGGGCACCAAAGGAGGAGTGAATTGTGAATCTGCTAGAAAAGTATATTTTCAATATAATGGTAATTTAAACATTGATAAGATTTTCAAGGTTTTGTAAATGCAAACAAAAAATTTTTTAAATCCTTTTCTTATTATTTAGGTCATAAATGCTTGCATATTTCTAACATTTTAAGGTCATAAATATCTGGGTCTTACTTGTGAGTCAATTCATTAGTCTTGTATGGGTTCCTTTTTCTAGCCATATTAAAAAAAATTTCCCAATCATGAACACTGACAAGATCCATATTTCTTTTCTCACATTCTATGGCACTGTGCATGAAATCAACTTACACGAAAGAGTGCCCTCTTTCAAAAATAATTTGTTCTATCACGTAAGTGTTTTGTGCTTTTTTTAATAAATAAAATAAGAAGGTTAAGGCTTGAATATTCCCATTTAGGCCTCCACAAGTATCAGACAGAAAACATTGAAATGTTTTAGGTCTGTTGGAAAATAATTTATGTATTGTCCCAAACATGTTCCGATTTCAAAACCATGCTTTTTATTATTTTCAGTTTGAAAATAATAGTACGCATCCTACGGAGATGCTTCATAAATTGTAAAATTGTACAAGTTTAGTGTTCTATTACAGTATGTTATACTATTATCCGAAGATGGGATTTGAAGGAAAATTTGTAATTGTTATTGAAGAGAAGTCTCCCATTGCTCTCTTCTTATCCTAATTTTGCCTCAAGTGTCATACCCTCCTTGCAACATGACTGTTGTAGTGATTTTCTCCGAATCAAATTACTTTTACGTAGGTAGAGCATTTCGAACATTGGTTCTTTTTTGGTTAGAAAAAAGGAACCAAAAACAATTGACTTATCAAGTTTGAGTGATTTAGCGCAGTGTTAGGTCTCCACAGAACACATCTGTAGGTAATCAGGTTTACAGACGGTTTATTGTTAATTTTACATTGTTTATGAAATAAAGCATGCCTTTTTCTTACATTCAGTTTTGGATTTATGAAAAGTCTCCTTTACATTTTTCTGGTATAATTACTTTCAGTTACAGGAAAGCCTTGAATACGTTCCCTAATTCTGGTTGAAATCAGGTGTTTTATTTGCAGGAATGAGCTTTCCTCTCAAATTGTGCCCTCTGAAATGACCAAATTCATAGACATTTTTAAAGGCGCTAAGAATCGGTATGTTCAAAGTTGCAAGAGACTTCCAAAACAATTGCTGTTTCAAAGCTCTTCTCCATTGTTCTTAAATAGATTTTTTTGGACATACTTCAAAGCATAACAATGTGTTCTTTTCCAGTAATAAATTATTTTACTAAGTTCCTTAATGGATTTCACTTCTTCAGAAAATTATGAGATAGTATAATATGTATTTCATGTATTTCACAAAATGTATTATCGACAATATGATGTAATGGATATACAAAGTCTAAAGTTCAATATAATTTCAAGCAGAAAAAACAAGTAACTCATAACTAAGCAATTTTGACTCAATGTATGTCATTTGTAATGGGATGATATCTCAAGACATTTACTAACATATTCTAGAAAGTGGCAACTAACATTTCCAAAAGTGGTGAACTCAGATTCCATAGTTTCAAAATCAGCCAAGTCCAATTCATCAGTTTCAAAATCGAACATGACCTATCACTAAGTTTTATAAACGACTAAGTTCATTATTATTAGTTCTAAAACCAGCCAAGCTCAACCATATTTTTTGAATATATGAGGGAGAAACCAATCATCTAAATCACTACCCATAAGAAAGAATACCAAAATCAACATATTACTATAAAGAAAAGGAATGTATTTTATTTACCTAGTATTCTGGAAATAAATATTACACATAATAAAAATGCATAAACAATACAAGTGTTTAAGTACATAAGGTAATAGCACCAAAAGCTGACAGGTTAATGGAAAAATACTTTGAAGTGGCTGGTGGTGTCAAAAAATTTACTATAACCTTTGTTTTGAGATAAAGTTAGATTCTTTATGAGTTTAAATGGCTTCCCCTGTAATAAATAATTTAATTTTTCAAGACGTTTTCTTTTCAGAAAAAAAACTAACACTGTTACCCAGCTAAGTTACCCAATCCTCACAAGTCAATTGTTTTTGGTTTCTAAAGCTGAGATGTAACGGTTCTAAATGTCAAGAATGAAAAGAAAAAAGAAGAAAAAAATAAGAAGGAAAGGAAAGAAATAAATGATTATTTTTAATAATTATGATTAATTGTATTATTAAATGGAATACACGAGAACAGTTCAGGTACGCAAAGCTGTTTGGATATCACAAACTTTTACGTCACTTCTACTCCTCTTTTACATCAAGTGTTTTACTAAATACTAATCTGATGACATTCCTTTCTTGCTGCATTAAAATTTCTCCCTCTATTTACAGCATCCACTTTCATCAGTGAGTCATTGATACTTGGGAATTTTTTGGGATGCCATATTAGCTAAATTTGCAAAACAGGCACATTAATTAAACTGTTTCCTAAAGCTGACAAACTGGGAACCTGAGTTGGACACACCACACCAACATTAGGTTCTGAACCAATAATACAATTGAACTTAAGACCCTCTATTTATGACATTTTAAGCTTGTGAACACATACAAAGAATACAAAATAATAATCACATCCAGGAGTGGATTTATGCATAAACACAGAAGTGCCTATGGCAGCAAAATTTAGAAGCGGCAGAAATTGTCAACTAAGATTAAATCTAAAGAGCTTCTTCTTCGGTGTGCACGATGTTTTTTTTTGTATTATACGAGTTTTTAAACAAAATAATTAAATTCTTGAAAATTAATTCATTAACATGCTGAAAATTCCTTCTATGACATTCTGAACAGTTCTTACAGTTCTGAAGTCAACAAACAATTAAGATTTAATTACAACTACCGAAAAGGTGTCTTTTCATAATCAATAATTTTCATAATCTGTTTGAAAATGTCTCGTTTAGTTCAGGTTTTCTAGTGTTAAAATGTAGACATTACGTAATTTTAAGAATTGAAGGTAGAGCTATGTTAGAATAATAAATATGTATAACCACAACAACAACAACAAAAAAAAAAAAAAAACATGACAAATTTATGTTATTTCTAAACATCAAAATCTATAATTTAAAAATTAAATGATTTCCTATAGAAAAAAACTAAACACTCATATTATTAATTAATTCATATTTAATTTTAGTCATTAATATGCGTTTAACTTTTTAACATAAATTATACTTATTATACATAACTTTTTCCTGAGTTCTTAAAAAAAAGGTGGCAATTTTTGCAAGCCTACAGGCAACAAAGTAGTTAATCTGCTTCTGATCACAACTTGAAGTTGACATTACAGTCACCCTTAGGGCGATCAAATTTTCAAGAATAGTTGATACATTCATGTTCTACACTCTAGTACGCTTATATACACGTACAAAATGTCCTAATTCTTTCATTGTTATCATCCTAACACCCCAATACCATAAAGATAACTCATTTCATACATAAAGAACAAAAACCAATTTCTAAAGAAATTTGTAAGGATTACCATGAATTACCTGCTCAAAAACACATGTCAAATCATATGTCCAACAAACTCAAGATAAATTACTTGATTGGAATTTTATTAGATTTATCACCTCAATTACCTAGACTATTACTGCCACATCTTTGTGAACTACCCTACTAGAATGCTCCTTACATAAACAATTATCCTTGCATTTCAGCGATCTGTCCACATTCAGCGCTGTTACTTTACTAGTTGACGAAGTTCAGCTTTTTGTGCTGAATAATTTGTAATTTTTGAGGGTATGAAAACATTCGCATCCTCATAGTAAATACACTAAAAAGGGATATAGTTGTAGGAAAAGGAATATCCATTGTTTTCAATTTACAAAATTATTTGACATTTGGTAATGTCATATCAGCAGTGTTTTGTAAAGTATTACTTTGTATGTTGTTTGTATATCATGTTAAAAAAAAAACAACTGTCATGCAAAAACACTTTCATACATACATTGAAACACATAGAAATTCATGTTATGAGAGGGCCTTGTAGGAGACCAGCAATGATCTTTAAGTATAATTAAGCCTAAATGAAAATCTAGAGGAGAAGAATACATTATCAATGTTTATCTGCCTCATTTGAATCTCTATACTGGCATACACTGTCTCTAGTAAAGCAATAGTATTAGTATCATATTCCATTTACATTGTATGGCTTAATATTTATATCTTCAAAGAACAACTAAAAATTCAATGCATTGCTTTGTAAGCAAGGTCGCATTGATACACTTGCATCAACAGTTTCTTTGTGTCCCAAAACCCTTTGTACAATTTTTAATCAACAAAAACAAGGCAAAAATACATGATCCACACAATATTCAGAAATTTTCTACATTCAAATTTCGCAGACAGCAAAATAACAGTGAAATGTATTTAGGGTTATTCTAAGAAATTTACACGCATAGCATCTTCACCTTCTTTAAACATGGTGCTGGATAAGCACTTCCAGCATGTCACTAAGAATAACTTTCCCTCCCACTAATTCGAAAGTACAAGTTTGTGGGCATTCTCCAAGACACACAATTTCAATTACCAAAATACATTGCACCCCATGATGTATCCAACATCCTTTGTAAAAAACACTATCACATCTATTTTAGGCAATTTGGATCAGTTCGTCTGACAAAAGAACTGAATACAGACAATATTGACTATTACACAAACTACAATTCTAAACTCTCACCTGAGCATATTTGTGATGTACTCCTGTCTCGCATAACGCCTTTGACAAATCATGGATATCTATTTTCCCGTTTCCATCGATATCCAGAGATCTGAATAAATTTTCCAATCTCTCTTCGTCTTCCAGGGGTAGTTCATGAAGGTAATGAGGTGGAAGTCCAATAACTGGATCTTTACTGTTTGACGAATGCACCATTACTACGGTATATTTTTACAAATTTCAAACGATTAATTTTACATAAGGATGTTCTTTAAACACCAGACTAGCCGTTTCACGACTTTAAAGACTACTACAAATGACAATCAACAACAAAGAATGATCACGTTACATCATATTCCCATACATACATTCGCGAACACTAGCACCCACCGAGATACTATCATAGTAACATACATAGTAACATACGTAATGTAGGTTGATGTACGGATGTGCGATTCGGAATCGATTCTCACAAGATCGATTTTTTAACCAAAAAAGATCGATATTTTGAATCGATTCCACGGTTTTTTGTTTAATCGATTCTTTAAGCTTGGAATCGAATCATTTAGAGTTTGTGCATACTCGAACTTTAAAACATTATCGATCTTCTGCGGATGCGCAGTTCAAGTTTAGCATCACTTCAGTGCATCTGCGCATGTATAGAAGATCGATAGTACTGACATTATGGCGTGCACAAACGCCTTTATTTTAAATAATGCGCACGTTTAACCGCAGTATAGAGATGTTCAGATTGACGTCACAACGTTTGGCGGGAAAGTGTTTTGTTTGGCAACCAGTGGCAACCTCTGCTGCGCGTGTAAGCTATTCCTAGATAATTACTAAGTTTGTGGCTATATTATGCGATTTCCGAGGTGCGGTGTCTTATCACATTTGCTATTTTCAATGATAATTGTTTTCTTTCGGTTTATTTAGGTTCTGACTGCGAATTTTGCCTACAAATTGAATTAAAAAAGCACTATTTTATCAACACACCAAGTCGCTACATTTTCTTTTTGAAAACTGTTCGAAGTAAATATTATCATGACCTTAGCGATGATGTTAAAGTGCTGCTTTATTATAAAATAAATGTATGAAACACCTGGTTCCTCATGCCCTTTCATCAGTTACGAATAGTGCCAACAAATTTCTAGCCCCTGTGCTACTAGCGTAGATGTGATTCCTTTGTGCAGAAAATCGATATTACTTTCCACTATATAACTTTCTTAAGTTTTCACAGTGGCATAAGTCATGGCATATGCCTCGTCCAATGACAACCAAGACTTCTTAAGTCGTAACTTTGTCGAGACTGCGCGTTTACACGTCGACATCTAGTTCCACGACTTTTAGTCACGTGACACCCAAGTAGGCGCGCCAGTTTCGAATTGAATGGTAGCATCATCAAACTCTTCTATTAACCACTACAATAACATTCTCTACAACAAAAAACAAAATAACCCTCCCCCAAAAAAATACAAATTTAAGATATTATTTTATGAGAATTCTTCAGTAGCTAAACTTTCAAATAGGCCTTCTTGAAAAGAAACCATTGCCTTGTTATCATGGAACACTCTCCTCCCAATGACAAGGACTACAGTGAAATTCAAAAAGAAAACCCTATGCTTAGGTACCCAGTGATTAGGATAACTTAATAAGACCAATCACAGCCAGATGAATATTTCATGGAATAACTTTATAATAATAAAAATAATTTATTCATGGTCCTACATTCATGGACTTCAGGGATACAATTTTAACCAGTATCATTCATGAAATTACATTCAGTACATGCAAATAAGTCTCAGTAAGAGTGTTAAATTACATTATAATTTATTTATTTGGTTTTTGGAACCGAATTCTAGTTGTTTAAAATTCAGGAGGGAAGGCATATCTAAGATCTTCCACAATAGGATGCTCAGTCAGATATTTTTGTTGTTCCAATTTCAGTTGAGTGCCGTCCACTGGTTGTACAGTATTTACAACCCATGTCAACCATTTTCAATTTACTTTTCAAAACTTTTGTCTAAACACTGAAATATTCCAAATAAAACTAAGCAGAAAAGTTCTAAATGGTCTTAACTATAAAGAAATTTTATCATTTTCTAGGTCACGATAAACTCAGCAAATATGCTCTTACTTCAAAATTCAGATTCTACTTCTTATTCAATAAGCATTTAGAATACTTAAGCATCACGTTAACTTTTGAAAATTTCTGAAGATTATTATTAAATATTTTACATCAAAAATATTACTTTGGAATTATATATTTAGGTAGAATTCTACATTGCTATGATTTTTGAATAAATAGAAGTGGAAGAATACAATATAGTATAGAAGGAAAAGTAAAGAAGTGTCCCTCGATTCCTTACACAAAATAAGAGCACAAAAGATTCATTTTATTATTAGAAGTATTAAATTTGAATATAAAAATGATTGTTTTTTTCATTTTGAAAATAAATGTGATAATATAGATATTTTGTTCCAGTCATGATATCATTAAACACAAGAATTAAATTATGAGAAGCACAGTGCACAAATATTACATTGTCAAATTCATCTAGATTTTTTTCTGAACATCATTGTAAATTCCATTCTGTATGGTTGAAGGAAGTAGATGCATAAGGATTGCATTTTGATATTGTCGAGGGCAAAAAATAACAATGCATTGATTTATCTAAATGTAGAGGTCAAGAATATGATGGTGCAGCAGTTACATTATATAAAAAATATACATAACTAAGTATAAAGTTCATACTTGAATTTTTATTATTATTTAAACTTTAAATTATTTTTTTATTAGCATCTCGTGATAACCTTTGTCTTTCTAAAAAGGTATCCCTAAGACCAATTTAGTTAATTCTTCATCATTCATCATATTTATTTTTGATGTATTCATCATAACATTAGAAAAGAATATAATTGCTTATTAAATGTTTTTGATAATGTTAATATTCTTTTCCGGGAATATATTATAGAGGTGTTGACTTATAACACTTTTTGACAGAGTATTGTCGAATACAGAATATGTGTTAATGATTTGAGTTCCTAGTATTATTCTGATGTATAATTGTATTAAATTTAAAGATAGTTGATGCCTTGAGTTCTCTTTTTACAAATATAACTGTTTCTTGTATTTATTGATATGATAATGAAACACTTAGAAATATTTAAAGTTGGTTGAATTGAAGTCTGTCAACCTTTGCTGAAAGAGCTAATTTTCATTTAATTTTGAATGTCTTGTGTTTATGATGCATGACCCAAAAAAATTATTGAATATTTTTGATACTTTTCTGTCATGTCTGTCACTTCTCAAAAAGGAGTGCATATAGTACACAATGAGAACAAATACTTACTATTACGTCTGGTCAGAAAGAACATGAGCAGATCTAAAATGCAGGTATCATAAGTAAAATAAATCGAATACTGCTTAAGTGTTCTACAAAAATGACAATTGTTAAAATGCGTGTTTATTGTCAGAATATACAGTAAATGCAATATATTATTATTCTTGTATTTTAATTTTCATATTTGACAATGATGCACATACACCATCGTATATTCTACTAAAAAGTTTTAAGGAGGGTACTGTATTATTTTATTATTGTGTTGAAAATAAATACCAACAGGTATGTAGTCAATGAAATGCTGAGAGCCGAAGGGCATACTGCTTCAAGATTAACCCCCCCTATCATAGCCTGTTTAATCCAATTCAACGTGTGTGGTCTCAGGCAAAGTGATACTTCAATAAGAATGTCCTTCCATGATCTTGCCAGGAAATGGAATAGGCCAGAAACGTTTGGAAGCTGGCTTTATAGCTGATATAATAGTCATCTAAATTCAATGACAGATTTAACACATGGAAAATGAGATTCATTGTCTTAAATTCAATTAAGTGTAATGAATACTTTACTTTCAGTTTTAAGGTGTCAACTACAAACTAGAAAATTGCTATGGTGCCCACATGAATATAGGAGAAGGATAGGGTACATTATGGTAACAATGAATTTATAATACATGTGAGCAGAGACTGTGAGACACAGAGTGCAGATAAGGAGAATTCTGAAATACCTCTATATTGTGAAGCTAATTTTACTTGGTAATGCATTTTTACAAATAAATAGTGTTTCGAAAATACTAACATTTCCCACCCTTAGTTTTCACTGGTGAATGTTAGGGTGAAATGTATTAATGGATGACCAAGGCAATTAAGAAAGGTAGGCAAATAACAATTAAAAAAATATTCTGATATATTTTTTTTTTACTTACATTCATTCTACATCTTTTCAAACATTTATACTTTTTGTAAGAATGTTATTTATTTTAATCCTCCTTAGTATTATAGTAATTACATTTGCACTCTACAATGAAGTAAAACATTAAACCTTTCATTTTTCAACATTACGACTTTCAGGAGAAAATTATCAAAATAATTGGTTTAAATTATTAATATTTCAATTATCAAAACATTCAGTGAATTAAAATTAACGTTTTGAGAGAAGTTATTGATGATGTCGATGTCTGCGCGGCAATGGCGGTACGTCGATGCCTGCACGCACGAGTCATTTAACGCGTCGTATCTACAACCGCTATCTACGACACTGTATCTTATGCGAAATGGCATACGAGGGCTCTTTGCCAAGTGCGTTATGCCCATAGCTCAAGGAAGACGCTCAAGCTACCACGTAATCAGTCGAGATAACACGCGTTTTCTAGCTGTTAACGCGCGGCGCTCGCTAGGCAACTCACAAAGAGCACATCGCCAAAAGCGTTCGTGTGTAGTTTAACATAATATATAGTGTTAATCTACGACGCGCAGTAAGTGACTCGTGTGCGTAGGCATTGACGCGCGTGACGCAGCTGACGTCATCAGCGTGAGGTAACGCGCGTCAACGCAACGCTTGTGTGACACAGGCCTAAAAGTATGAAGGCTTTGAAGAATTGCAAGTCAAAGGTTAATACTATTTTATTATGAGAAAAATGAAATGTACGTAATAGGAATGTTTAAAAAATGTTGGGCTAACTGAAGAACTAGATTAACAGATACAAGGGCACTATGGCACTCTGTTATTACAAAAACAAAAATATATTAGTACATTGTGAAAATGACACTCTCTCTTATGTAAAATAATAGTTGTGAATTAAGTCACCATTCTGAACGACATCAACAATTAAATGTATGAAAAAATACTATAAATATTGTAAACATAAATGGGAATATTGTTGCAAATAACAGCTTAGAATTTTAATATTATATCTGAACTGTACATTTAACTTCGTTTTGTTAAATGGTTGTATAAAATATTTCTAATTTATAGAGGAAGCTCTTGGCAATAGTGTCTACAAACCTGTACCAGTTTCTGGAGGCCAAACCATAATTTTCAATAAAGAGTACTAATATCTCTGTAAGATGAAAAAAGCACCAAGTGTAACTGAAGTGAGTAAGGCCTATTTCATGTATTAAATGTGTTTAATTGATTTAAAGCCGAATAATGTATTAATGAAACTAATGTGATGATTTTATTATTGTTTTTAAACAAAGGAAGTTATATTGAAGTACCTACCATAAATTAAATGCTTGATATTGATACCCCACTAGGTCACAAACAATCAACATTATTTTTTCTATCCACTTCTATTGATAGCATATTGAATATATCAGTTGTGCTTACATGGTCTCTTATATTCTTTACTTCCAACATCCACAATTAAAAGTAACTATTACCAAAAGATGAAGCATTTTTAACCTAATTTAATAGGTCGAAAAGTCTCAATATGCTGCTTCTTCAGAATCATCTTCATAATCTTCAAAAGGATGTTCATCCTCGTTGTTTGTTGGAAAATGATTATCAAAAAGAGATTTTGATTCTTCTGATTTTCCAGGTCTTGAAAATTCTAAGACATTTTTTGAATGGTCTGAATTATTATCGTTTGACAATTCATTGTCATCGTCATGAGGAATCTGTGACACCTTGTAATCATGATCTTCTGATTGCTCTTCGTCATGTTCAAATTCTGAAACCTGTTTTGTCGCTTCCTCAGCAGAGTTCTCAAAGAACCATCTAGATTTTGGCACAACTGTGTTGTCTTCATCACTTTCTTTGGAACGTTCAGCACTTTCTTCTCTATAGTCATCTGAAACAAAATATATGGTTTAGAAATGCAAAACATATGCAAGGAACATCAAATTTTAAGAAAAACATTATTTTTCCACTTCTACTTTTTCTTCTTGTCTATACCGCAGATTAAACTACATTTTCTCTTTAACTTTTACATAATTAACATTGTTTTCAGAATTTTCTAAACAACAATTTTGTACTTTGCACAAAAAATATACAATTAATATTCCTGATGAACGTTGATGTGACACAATCTCAAAAAATCTTCAAAAATTAACTACCATATGTTTTTCAATGTTCTAGGAAAACCTGTTGTACCTTTTCAGTTCAATCCAATGACGCCTTATTTTTCGTGACGAGACTTAGGCCATCAGATCTGCTCTTCCGTCTGGCCATGCAAATTTCACTGATTTTAGATTTAGCTCAGAGGTTTTTAGGCTTGAGGATATTTTACATGCAGTAAATCTACAACATGGGAGAGCTGGCTTAACTTCTCCTCTGAAGGTAGGCGTATGAAGGAGTTTCCACTCTTAAATATCCAAGGCTTCGATTGTATTTGAATCCTCAAACTTGGGTGTAACTGAATACCTGTTATACACCGAAATCGTACCTTTGACACAGAGTACCAAGGAGGATCTGACTCAACTTTAGTCAAGTTCATGCTAGAAGACCCTATTAATATGATATGTTTGCTAAGAAGCAATTTAATCCGGCCACGTTTCTTTCGCACTGAAAGTATATTATTTTATTGTTTGTTTTTATTTTTGTGTTTATTAATTTATTACTGTTGAAGGTGAACACTTTGGCAGTGCATGTAAATTGTCTATAGCAGTACTCTGAATCTGTAATTATACAAGGCAACCCCGCTACGGCGTCCATAGCCGTTAGCACGTGACCACTGGGAATGACAAGCATCTTACAAAAAGAGCAAGTACTCAAAGGTGGCGATGGTGAGGCTTCGGGAGAGGGGATACATAAACATCAATGAGAAGACCGAGATATGACAGCCAGCATCGCTTCACCGTCGGCCGAAACCTCGCATCTTGCACAAAGCTTGTAGTCGTGTGTTCAACGATCTTGACAATAAAGTGAAAACGTGTAATCCTTGCATACGTCGACTACCAATGGGGATAACGAAGTTTCTCCACGGAAAATTCAATATTGCACTTTTTGTATTGTGTCTTTCACATGATACTCTTCAATAGTTCTGAACTGTTGTATGCGTCATCATTCACGTTTTCCTCATCATTTCAGCACAAATAATATCGTCAACTTTATCTATAACCTCTACATTATCTTCATGACTTGCATAAACCAATCTGTACTCTTCCAATCTTCTTCACACAAATCGTTGGATTGTGAATACTTAATAATTTTTCAAATCCTTCAAGACTACTTCTTCGACGTATTCACGTACTAACGCACACGTACTATAATAACGCTTCGTAGACGTGTCTATAACACTACCTCCCATCTCCCGCTGACAACATAACCTCAACCCACGTTATTAAATGCCGATCGTCCAATACCATTGGGGGGTGAGCTAGTAACCTCAGGTATATATATATATATATATCAATATATATATATTCATCCAGTGAGGGGACAAACGCTTTCCCGAAAGCGCATGGAAAAAATAAAATGTACCAACAAATCAGAAATATGCCCTCAAGGAATTGATAAATACTGTTAACAGAAAATGTTTAAAAGAGCCGAAAAACATGGGAATGCAACCCATCACTCGCATCCATTAACCCTGCGCCTCTGGGGAGAACCCAAAACAAGCCTACGATCCGACCTGTCGCATCCTAAAGACAAGTGTGGGGGAGGTTCCGTTATGATTTGGGCGGCTGCATCGCTGAATTCAGTTGATCCTAACATTACTCTCAATAGCCGCATTACTGCGAATGAATATCTCGACATCCCTGACAATGAAGGCTTACAACGAGTAGCATAGTGTTTCCAAACACTGCCATATTTCACGATGATAATGCATCACAGCACCATAGCAAAAAAGGCGTGGTTTGCGGGGCATCAGAGTATCGTCAAACATCTGTTCCAGTCAGCACAATCGCTAGATCTCAACAAAATTGAACCGTTATGAGGAGTTATAGAGCAGAGCGTGAGGAGCAGATATCCGGCTCCACCAGCATTGAAGCAATTGGCGAATGCTTTGGTACAAGAATTGGAACATTCCGTTTCACTCTACAAATCTATTTCGCGAAGGATTGCAGCTATTCTAAAATAAAGTGGTGGCCCAACACATAGTTAATAAATAAATATGAATAAATAAATATATAAATAAAGAGTTTATTTACGTCAGATGTTCATATTATTTTGTCCAACCCATGTAGTCACCAGCCTCGAGCCTCTACCACTTCGCTGGCCCTGGTTTTTAATTCGGCGGGCGGCCGCGCGCAAAGCCGCCGACAGCGGAGCATCGTATCAATTTCGAAGGGGCAAGCCACTCCGTCATGTTGTAACAGTGACGACCGGAGGAGTAGGCGACAGTGGGGTTTCAGCCTTATGGAGGTTTGGTGAGGGTAGTCGGCAGGGTGTGTTCTATGTCATAGCGAGCCGCGCGTTTTAAGTCGCGGTGTTCGTGCCTTCGAGGCCTGTGGGCGCAGGATCATCCCTGCTGCTCCGCATCGCGAGGTCTATACGGGGACCCACGCGCTGCACGCCACTGCTGCGCAAGGGATGCCGCTGGAGGATTCGCACAGTCAGGGCCAGGTCCGTACAGTCAGGGCAAGTCTCATCCGAGATCATTTCCTTTTCAAGTGCTCAGGTGAAAGTAAGTTGTGCAAGAAAAAGATAAGCTGTGGAAAGAATATGAAACTTTCGAAATGAGGTGACCAGCTAATGTATTCTTATGTATTTCTATGTACACTATGTACACATGCAGTTATGTGTTTTAATTTACTCCTTTTAATTGTGTTTGGTACAGTCGATATTACAGAATATAGATTATACCGCATGCAGCCAAATCTGGGTTTTTCACGGCTTGTACAACCACGGCTGGACACTTGACCAATACTGGAATTGAAGCTTCCGATTGGACCAATCCAATCGGGAGAAAACACTACGAAAAGTTATGTCGTAACGAAGCTTGCGATTCGTTATCAGTATCTCCCTGTTCTGTCGGCTCTTGATCTTGAAAGGACTTCTTTTAATCGGAGTGTAGAGAGCTTTGCGTAGACTGTTTCTTTAAAATACACAAAAACGACATTATCCTTAGATTATGGAACCCCTAAGTTTGTCACATATAACCATATCTCGTAAATATCATCGAAGCGGTTTGAAGTATCGCGATGCGGTTTACACCCAAATTGTTTTAAATGATGATGGAAATAATATACTTTTTTGTTCGTAGCTTCTTTAATTTTTGAAATATTGACACGAAATTCATTTTTTAAATAGAAGCATATATTATTTCTACCACCATTGTAAAGTACCCTAATAGACGAATTCACTAATATAAGTATCGTTAACATTTAGAAATAAACTGTAGAAGAAATGGGTCGTACATTTCCTCACGCCACGTTTACCGCACTTTCTGTAACGGTTTTCGGAAAGGCGAAAAGAGACTGTCCTTCGCTGACGCTCCGCTCTCAAGTTGGAAATTGAAACTGAACGTCGAGTTATTATTGAAACTATAATTATTTGTGTAACCTTCTTACATTGATCTCCTACTTAAGAACGCATCTGTTTCGGTATTTGCTTCAAGTATAACATTCTATGCCGCGGCGTAAGTTCCATAGGTATTTACAGAATTATATCTGGCAGCCCCGTTCTTTTTCATTCCCTAAATTCAAAACGAAATAATAAGTCTTTTATCTAAAGTTGGTCTGATAACGTTATAGAAGAAATAAGGGAAGTGCCGTTTTATCCATTATAATGGAGGCAACGTAAGACGATTGACGTTGACCAATTAAGTCAAGGGTATAGTCGAATAAGGGGAATCTCAAAATTATGATTTTTTTAAATTGTCCTCTGTTACTAGGTACTATAAGGTATCTTAACCATCACCTGTGCTATCTGCCCCATGATCTTGGGAAGTCTGATGAACGTTCTCATCCTGGGTATCATCTGATTCGAAAACATTAACATTCTGGGAGCTTGTCAGCTCCGCCTCCTGAAGGTGTTCGTTATCAATATTTGAGTTTGTAGATATTCGGTCTGGCTTTGAAGAAAACCATCTAAATGTTGAAACAACAGTGTTGTCTTCTTGCGTTTCTTCCAAGCTTTGAGAACTTTCTTCCCTTTTATCATCTGTAAACAAATAAATAGATTAGAAATTAAAAAAAAACACATACAGAGATTGGAAGGGTAAAACATAAAAGGAAAATAAAACTGCAGCAGTTTTCATACACACATGTGAATTAGAAGGCTTACATCTCCCAATGAAATTTTCTCATCAAAAAACATTTTGATACGCACAATTATCAAATTTTTAACTATCAGGGATCATTCTTTTTAATTGCTGTATTTATAAAGAAATGTGTTATTCCACTTTTACTCTTTCTCCTTGTCTATACTTCAAGTCACAATTAAACTACATATACTCTTTAATCCCTTACATAATACAGAGTTTTCACATTTTATGTCAGAATTCTGGTATTTTGAACACAAAATTGTAAACAATTAATATTTCTGGCGGAATACATTGTGTAGGAATATCTATTGAAAAATAAATATACCGGATTAATTTATATTCTCGCCTTACTAGGTGCGTAGTAATGGAGAATCTGCTATCGGAGTTGCCGCGCCTCAGTCTACGGGTGTTTAGGAATGAGCATCGCTGCGAAGAATTTGAGTTGCGCGGAGAAACAAGTGAAAGAAGAAAAGAGAAGTAGGAAGGTGTATACCCAAAGACTTGAAGGGTAATAACACACCAAAAGACTCCAAGAGAAAAAACAAACATAATTAACACATATGATGTTTTTTGCTTTCTTTTGGAGTGTTATTAATATTTTATAAGGCGAAATATATTTACAGCATGTATCTAGTTAGGGCATTCGTCCAATTATATCAGTTTTCCGTGGGCACGACTTTGTTTTTTCAGGAGAGAGAGAGAGAGAGGAGAGAGAGAGAAAGAGAGAGAAAGAGAGAGAAAGATAGATAGAGAGAGAAAGATAGAGAGAGAAAGAGAGAGAGAGGGAAAGAGAGAGAGGGAAAGAGAGAGAGGGAAAGAGAGAGGGAAAGAGAGAGAGAAAGAGAGAGGGAAAGAGAGAGAGGGAAAGAGAGAGGGGGGAAAGAGAGAGAGAAAGAGAGAGAGAAAGAGAGAGAGAGAGAGAGAGAGAGAGAGAGAGAAATATATCGCACAATAAAAATGTAATAAAAACTGAATATTTTATAAAAGTTTGCTGTTATGTCCGAAATTGTACAAAAGTTCCTTTGGTATTTGGAAAGGAAATCAAAAAAAATCTCTTTAAAGTGGTATCAGTGGACGTGAACGTTCCTGTTTACAAGTTGGTAGAATTGTGTCTCATGATCAGCAAAATAAGAATAGTTTATCGTTCTAAGTTCAATCATAATTAAACGAGAAATTAAGTTTTTAATGCGCATCACAAAATAATAATTGCATTTATTAGCCAGATATGAAATTTTAATAGTAAATATATTTGGTTGGCATCTCGTCTTCAAGAAGTCACGAGTGGCTACTTGTCTGGGTATACTGAGTTCCGTGGGTGTGGTACGTGCGGTTCTGAGCGTTTTAAGTGATCTTTTAAAAAAAAGCTATTTTCTACTCGATATTCCGTGTAAGTAGTAAAACAAGTTATGCAAGGTTCCAACGCAAATACGTATGTACCTTGATACACGTTGATGATGAGACGGTTGTCTTGAATAAGAGTACGGCACTGTACACCTGGCACGGAAGAGCACTGCACGTCGATTTGCGGTGGCTTGGGAAGTGTGCTGCCACCCTGGTGCACAACGAAATGGCTCACCACGTTGGCGACCAGAATGTACGGTGCAGCGGTAGTGCGTGTCGTCAAGGAGCCCAGCGCGAGAACCAGACCCACGACCGCGGCGGTCGGCATTGAGGCCAGCGCTTTCTGCGAGCGTCGCTCCATGTCTGGGACTCAGTCGACGCAGTCGTGCCACGAGGACAGTCCGCAATGACCAGAGGTCGCACGTGCCGTCATCAACATCCATAAAAATACATGGCGTTTATCGGCAGTTGGCTTGTTTTACTTTGCAAGCTTGCACTACTCAGCATACGGACATTCATAGAACATGCCAATATAGCCAAGATAGATTGAGAAAGGGGAAGGGGAAGAGGGAGGCAATGAGAAAGAGAAAAAGGGGAGGGGAACGTTTGGGAAAAAAGGGGGGAATTTTATTTCATATAAGGTCTACGCTTATGAAAGATGCAAAATATTTTTGTTTTTAATTTTGAGATCAAGTTCAAATAATTCCTTTTTACTCGTGTTTTTGCTTATAGCACCAAATTCCTCGGTGTTTTCAGGACAATATCATTGGTTGAAGAACAAAAATTGAAATTATAAGCAGGTTTCCTTTATTTTATTTCATGTATGGTATTATATAATTATTTAGGTAAGTTAAAAAATGTTTACACTTATTATTGGTAATTACATTCTTTTTGATTTTGTTATAGTGAACATTGAAATTAATATAGATATTTTTAGTTCATTTCTGCAGACCAGTAGTCTAATATTGAAACTAACAAGTTTGACACAATAAATAGTAGTGCCACGACAACACATTAATTCTAACTTTTCTAATATTCGAAAATTTTGAAAGATCTTCGAAAAGGAGACCGGCGCAATTTTACTCTACATTAGGAAAAATGTTAAGAAAAAAAATGGTGACAGTTTTGAGATTTTTGAAAATAAATTGCAATACCGAAGCAAACATTATATGAAAACTACTATTTTTTCTCATTATTGAACAGTTTAAAAATCTGATATTTAAAAAAATCTTTGAGAAAAAACTCTATCATTAATATTGTACTCTTGCAATGTTAATTTGTTGCAGTTTTCGAATATACAGTGTATTCGAATATACAGTGTATTCCAAGTTTGTTAGTACCAAGTTCTTTGCTACATACGAGGAAAAAATTGAAATGAAAATTTGATGCCGGTTTTGAGAAAATAATAGTTTAAAAATTGCCTTTATTTGACACAAAATTTTACAAACACATTTCGTATTTTTCAAAAATTTAGAATTACATAGTTTAAAATATACCTTTGAGAAAAAGATTTCATGAAAAAAATTATATTTTCAACGTTGTAGTTGTTTCAGCGTTGTAATTGAATACGCCGAAAATATTTTGAACTTTCGTAATTTTCAAAACAGCAGGGATTTCAACGAAAATAAGACCTGGAACAACCGTTCTCTACACTATCCGAGAACAAAGGTTATTGAACAAATATTGAGGCATTTTTGAGAAAATTTTGAAAAGGTTGTCGTTATCTAAAGTACCCTCAAAAATCAAAATATCGGTTTCAAACTCACAGAACTTCGAGTTCCTTCAGATCGATTGGGGAATATTAATTTTGGAGGAAATCGCCTGGACGGTAGCATTGAGCAAAGACGGTCAGACGGACAGACATTACAAAATCTTTCCTTATACTGCGTAATGAGTACGTGAGAAAGTAAAAGCTAGTAGTCCCACAGAACAGCACAGACTTTCTAGTACTACCAAGTTTTCTCATTTTTTTAGTCTGGGATAGTTTTTTGGTCTTGCCTCAACATCTTACCATCTATCGCCGCCCAAAGTATATTTTTTTAAGAAAAATCTTAATTTTTTGCTTTCCTGATGGCAGAACCTAAATAAAACTTTAAGAATATTATAAGAGAGAAAAATCTCGTCCTATATCGAAATTTGTGTTGAAAAATTTGAAGCCGTTTTTACGAAAATGTCATTTAAGCGTTCCTGCAAATGTAAAATTTGAATCTCATTTTCACAGAAAATGTTCATAGAAACCCACTGTGTGTGTGTGTGTGTGTGCGCGCGCGCGCAGGGCGCCCCTCGACCGTCCGTCCTCGCCATGACGCAGTGTTGTGCTGTTACGAACCACCAGCCACGTGCTGCTACAATATTTATAAGTTGTAGTGCTGAACTGTGTTTATAATTTTTTGTCTGGTTGATTGGCTGCTAACGTCAGCTGCTAAGATCATTAGTCCCGTAATTGTAGTGCACGTTTTTTGCTCAGAAGGTGGCAGTAATCTTGTCCCCTGGATGACCAGATCCGGCCCTTACTTACTATCGGCTAGCGGAGTTTTCCAAACCCCACCAATGAGGCACCGCCCCAGCTGGGACACGTTTTAAGCCCCCGATAGTAAAGGAAAGGGAAGGGAAGATCGTGTGTGGTTCGTGGTCCGTTTGGTAGGTTACTGCTCCGGTATTAGTGTGGTATTGATCGGAGAAAACATGGAAAACTATCAGAGCAGCCGGCCGCAAGAATTCTCCTCCATACAGCGATAGAACTCGGCCTAGCTCTCTGGCTAGTGTCGAAAATTTTGCAATCGTCGGGATTTTAACCCAGTATCTCCCGTTCAGAGGCACTACAATGACATCAGTTAATGCCCTGGGCCGTCTCTCCTTGCCAGTTTGTTTGAAGTTCTTTGTAATTTTCCATGCGTTCTTTAATCTGGCATTGCCTATACTCTGATCTACATGTTCACATACTCTTTCCCATGCTTCATTTTTTACGTTTCTTACTTCCTGTTTAACTTCTCTACTAATTTGACGATACAGTTTTCTGTCTTGAATATCTTAGGTCCTTAACCAGATATTATTTGCAATTTTCTTATCTCTCACTTTCCATGCCAAAGCATTATTCCTCCATGAGTCACCTAGTCATGTCCCTCTGGTATATACTATTTCTCGGAGGCTGTCAAAAGCTGGTTGATGAACGGCAACTATGATTCCATCGTACAGTGTTTGAGTAGTTGTTTGTTTCACTTCTAACAGTTTCTTGCTTATCCTGAGTTGTATAGGAGGGTTGAAGATGGATCTTCAAGCAAATACATTTTGTTTTTGATCTCGGCTGTCCAGGTGACAGCGCGTTGAGGGCTGAGGTGCCGACATTTTGACCAACATATCGCGGTCTTCTTCAGGGCTATTGTGCGCCAGATTTTTGATTTCCACCTCCCCAGTTGCCCTGAAGAGGTGGAAATTTATACAATATCTGGGATACATATTCGCTTCAGCCCGTGAGACTTTTGCTGCATGGGCGGGCCTATCTTAAAAACACAAACTGTTAATCTAATCTTATAAACTAATACAATGGCCTCTTTGGGCCAATTCTAGTTTAATAAAAGTTCTTTAGAGGTAGGTTATGAGTTCTTAAAAGTATTATTTTCATCGTTTATCCTTTTGCTCATTCACACACTCATTCATACTTAAGCTATGTATACAAACATATTCATTCACGCAAGCAAACAACACCACACTGTTCTATATACACTAATTACACATTTATTAATCGGTGACTTCACTCAAGCGTTCGTGGCACCTCACAGTGGAATGAAATGCCTAAAACGTGGTTAAAATTCAATATCTCTTGCAATATGCAAAATAATGGCTATATTGAGGTTTTCCACCTCACTAAATACGATTATGTTATCAAAAAGTAAAAATTAAAATTGGCGGATGACGTTTGGAAAAATGTGGAAGAATGCAACAAAAATTACTATATTTGAGTTTTCGATTACGAATTTGAAACATTTAAACAAATAATATTTTAGACAGCCATTAGTAAAAGCATTTACTTTTAGATGAACTGCGTGCTAAAAGAGAGACGATGCTCAAATGTTCAGATTAAAACAAAATACTTTTGTCTGATCGCGAACAACTGTTCTTAACTCTAGATTACCAAGGCGTCGTATGTCAGGTGAGGCAAGTAGTACCAAATGTTTACCCATCCTCCTTCCTCTCACTCACAGTTTCTCAAAATCTGTGAAATTCACGTATCGTTGTGTCCAGGCATATTTCTGGTATACACCATATAAACACGTTTCGTCCAATTGACTACGCCTTTGTAGTTACGTAAGTGATATTTTAGTGCTTACTTGCTAATATACTAAATAATAAATAATATATCCTTGTCTTGTAACATTTAAGTTTTGTTCTGAACATTTAGCAATCATAATGGCAATCATAATAAAGATCATGTGACGCGTTACTTCAGTGGACACATCTCAAAAGCCATGTGTGTACAATACCCAGCAAGAGTCTGCAGTGAGAGTGAAAATGATTTAGGTGTATCTATAAAACTCTTAAAAGTGTATTTATAACTACTTATCATACATGTTCAATCCATTAAATTTAATGCTTCATTGTAAAAATTACTTTTTATTTATTTTTACCCAAAGTAGTCTTCCAGACTAAGCCATTATAACAACGCTTGGTACACAGCGCCTTTGTAATCAAGGACTAATGTAATATGGTACCCAATTAGTAATATTTGCATTGAAAAAAATGAAAATCTGTAATGCTGACTAAAAATATTGTATGGCACGCGTGGTAAAAGTAGTTTTGTTCTTCTCCTAGGAGTTCGCTACTCGTCCAGTCGGCCTCGTGACGCAACATCTCTTTCTCGCAAAATAAAATGCGTTTTTTACTATTCGTACCATAAATAACGTTTTTGGCAGTTATTAGTAAGTTTGGTTCTTTCCTGATATCAAAATGCAATTTTTAATGTTCAAATTATCTCTGAATGCAACAATGCCTGTCTTACTGCTTCATAAGATTACAATAGACTGCTCTTGTGATTTTGCGTGGGCAGTGCGCGGTAGGTGAAGGAGACGTGCTGTGGGTTATTTCGTCTGTGGAAGGCCCTGTGAACGACGCTGTTCGCCGCTACTCCGGTCTCGCGCAGGATGCCCGGGGCGGACGGCCTTAGCGCCCTCTCGAGCGCAGTCTCTAGCGCCGTCTCCGCCCGCTTCTGCAGCTCCGCCGCGAACTGGTTTCGCCCGCCTCGAACTCTGAACACGTCAGCGTCTCGGGGAGTGCGCTCTGGTCGAGTGTTGGAAAGATGGGAGCGCGCCGCTCTGTTTTCTGCGATCCGAGTGGGACGCAGAGTAGGAATACCTCGCATGCGTACGCTCACAAG